GTGAGGACCCAAACACTTGGATGCCAAATGGGGTGAGACCAAAAACCTTGTCTAGGTCCGCGAACAAATAGAAAGATGGAGGTAACGAGGCAGCGTTGACGAGGTGACGGAACATTTGCATAATATTTTCGTGTTGCTTCAATAGATGAAAAACTACTGGCTACCGAGATTTAATCACAAATATCATTGCTGATCATTTTGCCTCAGTGTAGCCGAGAGGGCCCCGGGATTTTACCTTCCCAAGTTATGCAGTGATACTTTGCTTAACCCTTCTCATGATTTTTTGCCCATCGAATGGCATTTCAGCATGTCAGTCGCCATCTGAAGAGCTTGAAATTATCACATTCGTGTTCAGTTTATCAAACATTTTCACAACCCTACAGGAGTTCGTGGCCAGAGTGGGCACGGGGCCACATAATTCAATCGAATTTTGAAGGGCAACCAACACCAAGCACTAGGACCGAGAGTAAGTTGAGGAGGTCATTCAAATTCCTGTGGAAGATCGATTTTATATGAGCATGTTAGCTCTCTGGCAATTTGAAGTATTTCTTGCCCAACTGTCGCGAGCCCAAAAATTTATAACTCCGACTTTTATCACTAAATGAAAATAATGGATAGCGTTGCCCTTTTACTCCCTTTTTCCTGAAACAGCAGTTAGCTATGGTGGAATATGACTGTCATAGAAAAAGGTGTAAATCATTTTAATTTCAGCGGTATGTCGTCGAGATCTGTGATCAACTGAAAGGAGACATTTTCCAGAAGTTTCTTGAGAGGTCAGTGTATCTGTAGCGAATTTACTGATGTCATTTCTTAAGTGTTTTAGACTGGGCGTGAGTACAGAAGAACGTTCAGAAGGCTTTCCTGTGCTCGCACGACCTTAGTTTATGGGGTTCCCATTGTATGGGTAGCACCGCGTTCCCTTTGACAAGATCGGTAGGAAGTGCAGCAGATCGACAAGTCTTTAGACAGACTTGTAGTCCATGAAATATGGGCAACTAGGACGACAAAGGAGAGACTCGATTTTAAGGGGAAGGATAAGATTGCTGGATCACCATGCCATTTACTGGCAAAAAGGGGGAAAGTAGGGGCAACTTTGACCATGAGAGAATGAAGAATGTGTTGGAAAAGAGGATGACGAAGCTCCCTTACAGGGTTTCATTACGCTTTAGAAAAAACCAATTCCACATTACCTATGCCATAAGACATCTAATTTGTTCCAGCGACAAGTTTACCCGATTCTGCCAATGGAAAAACTTGGAGCTGAACATGCAATTGACGATGAACGACTTCTCTGTACATCGAATTATTGGCCGAGGCGGATTTGGTGAGGTGTACGGCTGTCGAAAAGCGGACACCGGCAAGATGTAAGTGAACTTCAGCTACTTTCTCTGACTAGCAACACATGCCATATCAAAACGGCCACCTAAATTCAAGTAAAGTGTGTTTAATAGTAGGATTCAAACTCTCTCTGCTTTTTTTGATTTTCGCTACGCTCTCGGAGCTGCTGTCTGGAACGTTTGTAACGAACAACGTACAGATCAAGAAAAATTCAGCTATACTTGGAGTTCATTTTGAGATCACAGCACTTTTATACTTAACGCTGGTCCACGAGTCAATATGTAGCTAATCAGAGGGTTGTGATCCTGTAGAAAACCAACTAATACGGTAGTTACTGCAACTGGGGACAGTTCATTGGAGATTACGGTTCTTCACGTCTGATCCGCGATCGGGCTTCTTCTTACTTGTGGCTCAGTGTTTGCCATTTTCGTTCCCTACCTCCCATTCCACATATTCCACTACTGTGCTTTTCCTTAACTTCACCTGGCCTCAATTTACGTCCCCGAAAGGATTCAGGATGTGGGACTCTAATGTTCACTAGAGTGTAATCGACTTGCGTGCGATTTCTCTTATCAAGATCAACATGCCAGTACGATTTTCACCTCTAATCGGCTCCTCAGTGAACAAGGATTTTCGATTATGTGAAGCTCTTTCTGGTGTGTGGGGCAGAATTGTTCGCAGTCCTCTTTTATGCAGATAATATGCAAGACGGCGTTCATAATTTACGGCAAACTTGCGAATCAGGGCAGACGAAAGTGTTTGAGTTGATTGGATTTTGAATCTGGTCAGACTACCTCATAGGACATGCTTGAAAAAAGGTTTGAGTCCCAATCACGATAGGATGTCCATATGGCTTCTCACCAGAAATTCTGCTTCTTGAACACCCTTGCTTCTTCCCAAAACTACAAAAACCAACGTGGGGATCGCTCTATACTTTTGACCGTTGCCCATTGCTAGGGAGCAAAAGTTGACCGACCAACACTCTTCTAAGCATCAACCTCCAAAATGTAGGCACTCAATATTGACAGCGCTGGTTCCGACTGCCCCTTAGGCAGAAATGATCGAATTAATGAAATGAAAAATGATGATGTGATGACAGTTTGATTTTTCACCCAAGCAGAAATCATCTTTTTGCGAAAACTTCCACTCCTCGAAATACTGTAGCCCTTATTTGAATATTTTCGGCAGTTCGTCTTAGCCGTCTCCATATCATTCTATATACAGCATCTTCTGCTTTCACCTTTATACGGTGGAATCCTTCTTGATAACGTCCCATCTTTGAGGCCTCCTCTTTTCGGAGGTTCCTTGTGGTCGCTCACCTTGGGCTTCGAATATCATTACTTTTCTTGACGGGTAACCTTCTAGTCTGCGCAGTACGTGTCCATGCAATTGTAGGTGATGCTTTCTCTTTTTTTACTTAGTACTCTTTTTTAATATTATATGTTATAGTGGAGCAGGTTTTAATTAAGTACAAATGATAAAGGATAAAGACTTGGGGCGGTAATCAATTCCGTCTGAGGGATGCGCTCACGCATTCGACTTTCATTCAGAATAGTAGAGGCGTATTGAATGCGTATGTGGCCTATACAATGAATTGCGGTGGCCAGCCGATGTACAAGTCAGTGCTTTTATCCTCCCAGACTAGTTTGGTACCAATTAACCGACCCCGGAAGGATGGAAGGCTTGGCGTTGGCCCGGGCGGATATTGATCCAAGAATCGAGCCCGGACCATAAGTGTGTGAAGTGCGCCACTTGCCACTACACCACTTTCGCCTACGTTTTATTAAGTAGTATTTTTCATATGGAAGAATTCAGGTACGCAATGAAATGCCTGGATAAAAAGAGGATCAAAATGAAGCAGGGCGAGACGTTGGCGCTCAACGAACGGATCATGCTCAGCCTTGTCTCCACGGGGGTGAGTTCGAATCAGTTCAGGATTCTTCCTAAACTCTGATGGCATCTGAGGAGACAGAAATTGATTACTATAAAAGATGTTTACCAATAGAGTTCAGGACCCAACACATCAATTAGGAATTCAAAACGAAGTCCGCTGTTCTCTTCCCCAGTATCTCATCAAAGATGTCCCTCGGGAGATAAAGGGCAAGCCGGGAGTTTTCTAAAAACTTCAAATAGACTAGAATATACATGACTACTGGAGGGATCGATTGGTGGCAGACACATTCAGCTTGCAAGAAATGGAAGAGACGATAGGACTAGGGATGTGCTGAATTCCAGCCCCACCCGATAACCGTTGTTTGAGCCTGTTCTGCCCATTACTTGGGCAACTGAATGCATCAATTCTTGCCCTTCCCGATCCAACTGAGATTTATGACTTTCCAGAATAAATCAGAGTGACGTATATTAAGTAATAAATGGGATTTTCAGCAAGATTGCCCGTTTATCGTCTGCATGACGTATGCTTTTCAAACGCCCGACAAACTTTGTTTTATACTGGATCTGATGAATGGCGGAGATCTGCACTATCACTTATCCCAGCATGGTGTTTTTAGTGAACCAGAAATGCTGTTCTACGCTTCTGAAGTACGTTTCATTTCAGCTTAAAAGTCGGGAGCTCCGTCTTTTGTTTAATATCCCTTTCACATTCAGGTTATCCTTGGACTGGAACACATGCATAATCGCTTTGTTGTCTACCGGGACCTAAAACCGGCCAATATTTTGCTCGACGAAAACGGACATGTGAGTATTAGAGACTCGTTCGCTCCCGACCGGATGTTTTCCGATGGAAATCCCCCGAGAAAAGGGGCTGCTTGGCTGCGCATTCGATGGCTCCTCTAGAACATTATTTGTTATGTTGTACCAGCAGCAAAGCTCTAGCTTAGCAACGCTTTGGCCGAAGAATGGCTACAGAGCTGGTATTCCTCTCAGAATTTGTAAAAATCACTGTGAATTGAATGGGAGAAAGGGGTAGGGGGGGAGGAGTGTGGATGTTGAAGACTCATCATTCATCACCGATCCACTGACGCCCACTGTAATGCATGCCCAGGGTGAGAAGAGAAGAGTTAAAAAGCTAATAAATTACGGAATTAAAGAGGAGCCGAAAGTTTCTTAGGAGTGCCCCATGTCGTTTCACTGTAGCAGTTAGGAGCCAGGTGCAATCAATTGTATGTATGTGGCCACATATGTCATTCTCTATAACTGCTAGGCTATTCAGTATTATTAATGACCGCATACATCAAATTCTAGGTCTCATGTTTTCCAACGATTGAAACTGAGCACGATTTTTATCCTTCTGACTCCTTTTGTGAAGGTTTTTGGAATCGTAGGGCATCCATGTCCTAATGCTGAGGGATTCGGCCACTTTCAGGGGTTCAATGATGTGCCCTAGCACTGCATACTGTCAGAAGCCAGATTCAAGTTCTAGTTGATAAAATAGGGAAGGCTATCCAGGCAACGGCTGACGATGAGGGATGAAAGGGTATTGGCTCCCGCAAACCATAAATAAAAATAAATAAATTCCTTTATAGCGGGCATCTAAAATATCCTATTACATTCTTGAACACGTGTCTGCATATAGTTCATTTGTGGGTGTCATCAGCTATGAATGTGTTCAAAGAACGTCCCAAGGTCGAGCAAAGGTTCCAGCCCCACAACTCAAGCCTGGTTCGAGCTAGCTGACCTCACAGAATCGGAAATCTTGAACAGGGCGAAGCATGGACTCGAGTACAAGGGCTCACCAACTTCTCTTCTGAAAAGTGGTTCTCTTTATGATCCCTTCTCCGGGAGTCGCTCTCAATGCAACCCTTCTCAATTCAACTTCCTTCTTTTTTTGTTTGCTTTTTGGGCTTTTCGTACTTTTCGACTGGGTAGAAAGAGAACAAATTTGTAGTCAGGACCCCTCCGTTCAGCGAAACGATTAAGGCAGCCACGATCTCCCACGAACCTTTAATGAAACAAGTATGACCACTCGTTATCACGAACTTTACTCTAGCCATGGCTGACCTTGACAGCATACCGCCAACCTAATGAAACATTGCTTTTACTTACTACTGCACCTGCCCAGTAACGGAGCTAGTACTTAACTTCATTTTGTATTATATCACCCACAGGGTTAAGCATGAGACAGAGAAAAGTATGAACTTGTTGTCAGAGCGACTTCCTTTTCTCTTCTGAGAGGATCTCTGAAAATCCTTCAGCTCCGGTTTAACTTCTGTGTAATGCTTCTTGTCTCTCCTAGTTTTCGGTAAGGGGATGGAAAAGGTCAGAGAAGGAGAGATGAGAGGTGTGAATGCTTGTCTTCAATAATTGACGTGAATGTTGTGATGAATATGATGCTCACAGAACGGATGTTCCGTCAGCATCATAATCATCACAGCATTTACGTCAACTGAGGACAAGAACCCGAGGAAATTTAAATTCGAAGGAATAGAACAATTTGTTCATTCGTAATAACAGACATGAGAAATTGAGCTGACTTTTTGCGCCATCTCATGTGACATGTAATTCCTAGCATATTTCGTGGAAAATGATAAATTGCAAATTATTCATCAAATCGCACAATAACGGTATCAAAGAACAATACCAAAAACGAAAATGAATGATGGATGAAATTAAAGCTTGAACGAAAATTAGAAATCGTGTAGACAGCTGTGCAGGACTGTAACGATCGCAAGCCCAGTTCACGATAAGTTTGGGAAATCCAGTTTGGGACGAATAATGGAAGGCGGAAACCAGAATAGTGCAAAACTGGCGAGAGGGACACCAAAATCGGCATACTCGGAGAAATACTAGGCTTCAAAATGTTTCAAAATAGGAGGTTGGGCGAGAATGTGACGACAAGGTTGCATGGAAGGGGTATTGGGACGAGCTCTCCAAATGTGTGTGCCATTACATACAGCTGGCTACAGTAAGCTGCCTGTACGCAACGTGTGCGTATCAGGGCGGATAGTGCATCCTCTACAGCTTTTACAACGCCGTGAAAACTCGTCCGCCTTTCGGTGTGTACTTTTTGGGTTTTGGGCTTTCATGATGTCCTGTCTAGGCGGTTTTTCAACCTGAAAGCGCCTATTTTGCTAGTCTTCGGGGTCACAGATTAATCCCATGAAGAAATCTGGGAAACTATTTTGAACTGTGCCTTTGGTAGCTTATACGCCTGAAAAGTGCAAGTACGAGTTCGAGTCCCTTCAGAAGCCGAGCTTTTGCACAAAACTCGTCGTCTTTGTGGGGCTTTGCGGGATCGCACATTGCGGCGAAATGAATGAGAGCGTAAGTAAGTACATCCATCCAGAAACTTCGTGATCTTTCCAACATATTCCTCAAACACCTGAAAGAAGGTCGTAGCGCTCCCCATTTGTGATGGCAAATTCGCACTGTATGCGTACTGAATGCGCACTGCACATCATTTCTGTCCAGAAATGCATTCGGTGTGAATGGTGTTCTGTGTCACCTATAACTGTGCTGCTTTTATGTTAGGATAAAGGATAAAGTTTTTAGCGTCAATCAATCCCGTCTG